TGGGGGGTAACAGTGGTTTCAAAACAAGCCAGCGACCACTAGAGTTCCGCTGGCTACTTGATTGTATGTCGCCGGCTACTCTGGTCATAACAGTCTGCTCGTGACAAACAATCTCAGAGTTATCACAGCCGCCTACTTTTCCAGAGTCGGCCGCCTACTTCAAAACATTTTGAAACCCCTGGGGGTAACCCTGTGATGGACTAGCATTCCATCCAGGGGGGAGTAGAAATACTCCTAGTCGCTTCATGCTACAGAAACCGGAGTTAAGCGCCGGCCTGATGGGCCACTGGCTCGTAAACAGACTTATTATAGAATTTGGTTTTCAAATAAGCCATATAATTATGAAGTTCAATGGATAGAGCACTGGATTGTTGTGCGGGAGGTTGGGGATTCGAGCCCCGGCCGGACCAACACTCAAGGTCTTAAAACAAGTGAAAAGAATATGCTACCTTTCTATATCAAGAAATGGTTAGATACTCTAGTCTTCTTGGATAGGGACGAATAAATGGAGGTCCTGTCTCCGGCAGGGTTCAGGGTAGGAGACGTTAATTTCCCATGCACGAGATAACTGTGCAATGGATGTCCTCCCTTGGGGTGGCTGCTGGGTGGGAATTGGCCCTGAAAAGCCCTCAAGGGAAGTGGTCAATTAACATATGTATGTATGTAAGTTCTCTTTTTCTTTATTCTGATCACCTTTTAGCTTTTCGGTATGATGATAATACTTGAAGAAAATGTTTAATGGTAACTCCCATGAGTAAAAGGGTTACCTTTAGCAAGTGACTACATATAAATGAATTTATCATCAAATATGTACCAACCAACCATTAATATTCAATAGACTGTATGGGAGCCATTTTTTTGAGAGACACTCTTGACACAAAATAACATGTTGGTTTCAGTTATAACATAACAACTGATACAATGAATATATGAAGTTCATAAATTTTATTTAACTGTAAGAATAAAATGTTGATAATAGCAATACACTGTATATCTATCCTGCCAATTCTACACAATGTTAAAATGTGCTTAACAAAACATGTACTTAGGATGGACCAACATAATACATACATAACATAACATTACCATGATTGTACATGGAGTACATGTGAAAACCAAATCTACTTACTGTGGAGTTTCTCTCACATCAATCTCATCAATATTTCTATCAAAGAATGTCTCATCTAGGAAAAAAGAGAACACACTAGGTTAATGAATACAGCCTTATTTCCATTCAAGGAGAGACAGCACTGCTTGGAAACAGAGCCTGTTGTGTGTTTTGATTAGAAGTTTAAAAAGTGGGAACAAACCAAAGAAATAGAGAGAGGAGGTAAATGAATTTAAGGAGATGTGGTTACTCTTGCAAGCAACTAACTTTACAAAACCTTCTACTCCCACCTTGCTACTGTAATCATAACAGTGCTGACTACTGATTTAGCAAGCCAGCTCTATATAGCTATCCAAAACACACATTCTTAATCAAGAATAAATGGTGATTACAGTCTGCTTCATTAAGTGCCTCCAGCAAATGGGTGCATGGAAGAGGAAAGATCTTGTTACAAGTGTTATCTGGATTATCAGGTGTTATCTTGTTTCTCGGTTGGCAAGGAAAATGGCTGTTAAGGTCACTACTTTTGCAAGGTCATTGCATACTGTTCCAGAGGCAACTACTTTTGCTCACACATCAGTATTCCCTACTTTTTAGAGGTAGCTACTTTTAGGATTTTGTGGTAATCTGTACCTCCTAATAAAGTACAATCAGACTGGCACAACAGACTGATTATTGATCTCTTAAATAGAACATCGATGGAAAGTTTGTGCTTAATTTCATATCTTAATTAAAAAAAAAACACCTTAATTGGTCTTCACTAATAATAATTGAAGAAAACAAAAAAAACAGTCTCCTTCAAAGTAATCCTGAAATTATTCTGATTGACTACAGTATCAATAACCGATATAATATGTTATACAGATCTTTATAGTTCTAAATGTTTTTTTTTTTTTTTTGGAATGACTAGCTATCGTTTGAAAAGAAGTTAGGAACTTTAAACAGTAAACATTCATAAGGGCTGGGGGCATGCAATCCCAATGGGCCAACATGAAAAAGGTTGCAGTAACAGAATGGTGCTCGTCTGACAAGTAATTGTCTTGCTTGAGTCAAGACAGACCACGCACGTTTAGGAAAATTCGTCAAAATTCCAGAGGTTGAGGCAAACATGATCGATGAAACATAAGGCGTATATAGAAACATCAAGGTTTTCTAAATCAAATACAATGCGTCGAAACTTGAAACCCCGTGGTAATTTCCTTTCAAAGGAAAAATATCCAGAACGACGAAGACAATTTAGGCAGATATACAAGTTCAAATAACCATCTGCGAAACTCGTTGACAGCAAAAAATTGCGGATACATGATCACATTGCGATCGTTCATATATCTTCGACGCGCGCGACCATCAATTCCACATCGGTACTTACTCCAAGAACGATCGAGAAAACTTCTTGCAATGTTACCATAAGTGAAAAGACGATTACCACAACATCTATTGACTGAATACATTACCTTATAGACTCACCTATGTCATCTACTTCCATATCACGTACAAAACGCTTTGCTGCCAAACTTATCTCCTTGTAGTCGCTGAATCGTTCCCACTGTTTTTACACTCAGTGCTGAAAATGGTTTCCAGAGCGCTTCATGAGAGGTTTAAGCATAGTGGTTTTCTCAGAGCTGTCGCACAAAAAGAATATGTCGACGTTTATATTGTCGGCAGGCACAAGAGAGTCAAAAATTGTCCAATAAACCTCCTACACTTCCGAAAAAGCACACCGACAACGAATCGTAAGGGAACGTGTACGACAACACGAAACACTGGACATTCACAGACGAAATAAATCCAACAGAAGGGCAGTGATTATGACAGACAACCAAAACTAGATTTGTGATTCATCAGCACGAGAGGTTTCGGCATTTCATTCAAAATACTCTCGCATGAAGCCTTCAAACAACAACAAAGTTGCCGACATCTTTTCTGAATAGAGCGTCTAGGGGCATAGTGGGCCCTTATTTAAAGGAGCTGAAAGCAAGTCACTAGAGCTCAATCCCCGCCGACATATCTCGGTAAAAAGAAACTTACAAAACTAAGAAACTTTCAAAAGGGCCAAAGGCCTTCGAAACGATGTTAGAATTTTGTTTTTTCATCCATGCTCTTACTACATACGCAATTTATAGTTGACTTCCTCCGTCGGTGAGCAAGCGAAGGGAAACATCAAAATTAACGACAATGCGCGCAACTGAGTTTTGCCTACTGCGCAATGACAAACTGTCCCCTGCACAAAGCGTGCAATACATGCTGTGAAACTTGATGTATCTCGGTATATTATCATTTATAAATACCACCGCACTTGATGCGTGGAGCTGATAAATATCTGGCAAGGGAAAGCTTGAAGTTAGCGATTTTAAATGGTACCACAGACTTTACTTGGCTTAGTAGGATTATGGGGACTTCGATCGGTGGAGTAAGACAAAGTCAGATTGAGGTAGAAGGCTGCAAGTAAAAAAAGTATATATCCCTTTCAAATAAGCGCCCCCAACCACCAATTCGAGCATTTGGTGTTGAGGAAATATTGTGGAATGCCCCTAATAACGGAAGATATGGGATCGCTGTGCCAACGACATTGACCAGTCTTTCAACTGCAGAGCATCTTGTTCTCTCGCTGTAACGCAGTTGTCACTCTTACACGAGTTCAACCCGAGTTATGACCAGTAAGCCCGCCGTCGGACTTTCATTTGTCTAAAATTGAAAAAAAAAAAATTAAAAAAAAAACGGAACTCCTGTGACTAGAGTTACAGCTCTCTCAGAAAATTTTTACCACAAGTTTACAACAAAAATAACGCCTTCAAACAAGAAACAGACATACGTTGCATTTATTTAAAGACAATTTGTACAAGTAAGAAAAATATTTTGCTTCGAGAGAATTGTATTACAATATTTTAGCAGTAACATTGTTTTACCAAACTAAAGAGTCAGGCGTGACTATCCTTAAGAAATAGGATCAACTAGAGAGACCACGTCAATTATGCAAGGATGATAGTACGATGGTACAAAAGGTTCTCTCCTTTTTTTACCCTTGAACTCCCAAGATCCAGTCAGTAATTTTCGCAACTGGCTTCCTTGTAAAGCATACAGGAGACTTATGTCTTCGTATTGGAATGGCAAGAAGTTAAATGACAGTTACCTCGGGGAGTTAGAGGGTTACATAGAGTTGAAAAGTAATACAAAACAGGGAAACGTACATTTTAGTAAATAGAGCTCTAGACCGACATTCGCGCCAAGGTTGACAAGCAACACTTCCAAAGTGTGATCTCGCACGACTACGCTCTTAGTTGCCACGCTCCCTTTTTTTATGACAACTCATTTCGGGTTTCGCTGCCAGTCAAACTAATTTTGGCTATTTTCAGAATGAAAATCTTGAATTGCCCATAGCTAGGTTCATTACATGTTTAAGTAATTTTCTTTCAAAGCTTTCGCAGATAAAAATGTGCCCGTCTTGTTACGGATGATCTTAGAAACAGGCTATAAATGGCAATATCACTCATGAACAAAGTTTAAAAAACTTTGAAGCATACTTCTTTCTTTTGTACAATTTTTTGCCCGAAACCGGGCACAATTGAAATTCCTTATTTATGTTGCTCAAAGTATGAGCTTAAATTTCATTCAAATGCATTCTTATAGAAGGAAATTTTTTTTTTTCATATCTAGCCAAAGACAGATCTTAAAACATTACCCTTGTACCAACTGAGGGTAAAACGACATTACCACAGAGCGCTTAACTTTAAAGGAAGGTAAAAAAAAGAATACACAAACAATTAAAATTATCTCTTCTTGCATCTCTGTGGCATTTATCGGTATTCCAAAATTGGTGGTTTGAGACTAGAGACGATGTCACGTAGCACGGAACAGTTCACATCACCCTACATACAGAGCTCTTGGCCATGGGTTTCTGTCGTGCTGAATTTTGACGCTGTAAATTAGAAAAAACAAAACAAAACAAAACAAAGCATTAGGGACCGTACATCAAAAAAATTCCAGTAAAAAGTAGGCAGTTTCATTTTATTTACCGCCATAATAAAGACAGAGTTTTCCGTGCAAATGGAAAGTGCCGTTATAAGTTTAGACTATTTTCCTTGATTAGCTGTAACAGCAATTCGAAAAACTGGTCCATGATCTACACATTTGAAGAATCTCACCTTCTCTTTTGCCTGCTGTCTCAGTTGCTCCTAAAGGAGATAAAGGTAACAGATTGATTTTAAAAAGGTACTTCATACTACTGGCCTAACGCAATATGTTCCTAATTCAGTTGTGATTACACTTCTGCCGAGGGTGCCAGGGGTAGAGAGGGTAGGGGGCTTATTTACCTGCTGCATACGAGCTAACTGCTCCTGTAACGACAACACCACGTTGTAGTTATCTTGAAGTTTATCGAATTGCTACAAGATAGTAAAACACAAATACGTCAATATGCTGATGGTGTTTGTATGTCATCCTTTTTTGAGTAATGGTTGACAAGAACACCAGGGACAAGAAAAGCAAAGAAAGCGCTCAAAAAGAAAACTCAACGCTAGAAAACTTCTTTCACATCCGTATTCCTTGGTCTTATTTCCTTGGTCTCATTTCCTTGGTATAATTTTCATCGTTTGCACTCCTAAACCTTAAAATAAACCAACAAACTTCTTTCATAAAATGGCGGAATAAATTGTTACCTGTAATATTCATGTAAATAAGCTTTCCTGGCCCAGAGCCAACATGTGTAAACATACTAGAATTTTACCCGATAAACGAGGCCAAGGAGGTTTATTTGCCACGTGTACAAAAGATAGATAATCATTCTCGCCACTGCAAGTGAGGTCTACTTTAACCGTTATTGTTTCTTCAATTGAAGTCCTTGATCTTGCCATGTTGTGACCACAAACTAACCAAGAACACTTCCTTTAGCTAAGAGCTCACCTTTGATAATTCCATTTTGAGATTAAGGACTTCATGGGACAACTTCTCCTCTCTTTCCTGGAATTTTACCAATAAAATTACTTTGTAAGACTATTAAAAAAAACAACGTATTATTTAGATTCGGACACAAACCACCGCAAGACGTAACGAGTTCGCCAGTCGGGCGATGTACCCCGGTGTCGTGACTATTTCGAGTTACACTCGGGTGCTCGGACTATAGATCGAAAAACGATAATGGCCTCAACGAAAATTTCAACAAAACATATTCCAACTGTTTACCAACCTTTGCCTCCTTCTCTTGCTCACCCCAGGCTTTCTCCGCCACTTCCAATTCTTTCCTGTGTAGCTCCTGTAATCGCCGTTCGTTCTAGATCAAGAATTAAACCGTTCAACTCAGATAAGTTATGGAGATTAGAACCCAAACTTTAAATGAGGATTTTTCTTTCTTTTACGTTGTTTCATTTACCTCTTCTTTCTCAAGTTTAAGTCTATCGATTTCTTCTTGGAGATAAGCGTGTTTAGCAGCAGATTCGCGGCGTAACTCTTCCAAAACGGCCTGGTCAGACGAAACAACAAAAACAGCAAAACACCATTGGCAATTGAACACTTCCTTCAAGAAATAAAGTCGGTCGGTCGGTCGATTGTTCTGTTTGTCTTTCTGTCCGTCAATATGTCACCCAGAAAGAGTCAGTAAGTGGTGGTTAGTTGGACAAATAGTCAGCCAGCCTGCAAATCAGTCAGCCAGCCATTACGTCAAACGGTCAGTCAACTGAATCAATAAGTAAACGCAGCGTCAAGAAATTCGACAGCCTCAGGCACTTAGCTATATTGTAATCATCTTTTTATACAATCAGACAAGAGGTTTGATAAATTACCATTTAAATCGCCAAATTTTGGCCTAACGTACCAATTTTATCCCCTGTACCCTAATTTTCAACCGCTCTTCTCTTGCACTATGTTGAATTTTAGTTTCTGTGATTGTAACACATTGAATGGGGGTAGCAAGGAGAACTGCACTTCAATTAAATTACATCTCTAAGAACTTCCTTAAAGGCGGGTATGCGGATGTTATGCCTCAATTAATTTTGCTGCCGATTATAGCTCCCTGCTACAATGAATGGTAAACTTCTTGACCTAAAACCTCACAGATGCTTCCTTTCAAACTTCAAATCTGCCGCCGGAAGAATTAAAGTTACTAAATAGCGCGCATTGGAGTTATCAGTTAGACTTCAAAAAGTCCTTCACCGCCTTTGGAGCGGCTCTGAGCGCTCGGTTTTGTGCACGTATCTTGCAAATTTTACTCGCTCACGTTTGGATGTCAAAACACAACCAGTAGACAAATCTCAGTAATGATATCCATAGACTGCATGCTCTGAGAATTGTGACTGGCTTCCGTTTAGAAGTAAATTAAAGTGATTATTTGTTCGAGCAACCGCAAATGCTATCCAACACGCTAAAAATACACATCGCCCGATGTCTCCGCACGCTCACTCCATTTACAACTCAGGCTACGTCTTAAAAACTCATAGCATTTCGCGCTTGCGGATTTCTCAGAGAAAATAAAAATCAAAACTAAACAAGAAAAATTTCAAAGCGACGAAATCTGACGGCCTCTTAGCTTTGACAGAGTTTTTTCTTTGGAAGATTAACTGTAAGATAAGATGACATTTAAAATACCAACACCCACGTCTGGGAGAAATTGAGGTATGTAAATGATGTCTCTAGAATGTCCTATAATTCTTTTTCCCAAGGATTTTCGCACCCCTTGGCAAAATATCAGTTGTATTTTGGTCTCACCACTGGTATTTTGCCTAAAATAATTCTCACTAAAAGACAACAGCAGTGTAACTGGTATTTGCTCGTAAGCTTTGTTAAAGAAAACACTTTGATCTCGTGTCTGATCTGGTGGGAGGAAGTTAGATTAGTGTTTCTGTTCTTCAATTCATTGATATATCCTTTGTGAGAAGGACAAATCATACATCATGTACCTTTGCAATTTTCAAATAAAGGGTATCATCACTTTAACTCGAGCCACTGGTAAGGTAGCGAGACAGACTTCTTTCCTTCCTAGAGGAAACCTCAAGGGACATTAATTCGTTTTATGGCCAATCTATAATTTCAACACGTGGATAGTCTGTCTGTGTTTTCAATCAATAAAATTCACACAACACCGATATTCTATCATGAAAAGCCGCGAAACGACTTGTAAAAGAAACTTCGTTCCAATCACATTGACCTTAACACAAATAAAGTTTTCTTTACGGCTTTGTCTCGATCACTAAGTGAACAAAGCGACATTTCTAATGTTCACATGTTCAGAAACGGCATTTCAAATTACAATACGATAAGTCCTAAAGAGCGGCGCACGTTTGAGCCGAAGCTTTGAAGGAAACGAACTGTAGTTGACTGAAAGAATAAAAATACCTGTTCTCGTCGAGTAAGAGCCGATCGAGCGTCACTCGCTGTCATTCTCTTGTCATCGGTCAAACGACCGGCCCTGGTTAGCAAAACGAAACAGAATCAAAATCCCTAAATAATAAAGCAATAACCTGACGGCACAGAGAAGGAAAAAACGCTATAAACAAAAAAATTATTCGTACGTCAACACAATCTTCAACTTTCCATTAAGAGTAATTCTGTTCTATGTCTAAACATCAAAGCGAAATGCGCTACCGCCTGCCTCTTTCTCCTTTGAATATATCCAAATTGTCTTTCAAAACAGTAGCATTTTGACTTAACATTCAAGCATTTATCCGTTGATGAGTAACTTAATTCCGATATTTATCAGGTATATTTCTCGACGAATAGCTTCCCGTCGACGCTTGATAACACGAACGTGTCATTGGGCTGCCGTAATTAATTCAAAAAACCTTCCAGGCAAAGCTAAATGCAGTTTAAAATTGTCCGTTGCCTCGAAACGGGTAAAACAGAAAATTGAGTACAAAAACACAGGATGGCTACGAACGTTAATTTGCGCTTCATGCAAAGATTCGACCCATTTAAAAATAAAAACACTCTTCGATAGAAGAATTAAATGAGATTAATTTAAAAGATGTATTGACTCAAGCAGTGAAAAAAGCGCTTTCTAATTGTTTTCAGAATTGTTTGCTTTTTTGACAAAGAAACGTTTGAATAACAATAGGTTACAGTTCAGAAGTAATTTTCAGTAAAGAGAATTTTCGGTTATTTTGAGAAACAACGTGAAGACTTGATCCAAGCAACCATAAGATATCGATTGCAAAAGCAGAAAATAGGAACTGACTTCACAGTATATCAGTTACCTCAAGGATTGTGAAAAAAGGTACAGTGAAAGCTACAGGCTTTTTTTTTTTTTTACAATCGTAAAAGTATGAGAAATGGAGAAGACAAAAATTTCGCCCAAATCGCCGAACGTCAAATGACTCAAGAAATGCCCCTGTGTTCCTTATCCCAGAAGTTTGGAAAAAATTATTTGTTGGGATCGTCCAGCTGAAGTACACCATGTAAACCAGACCAGGCTAACTAAAGACATGAAATAATTTGGATATATCAACAAAAGTTGAAATGGTAAATTGGCCACCGTAATGATTACAAAAG